CTTTTTGATATGGGTCCATGGTATTGCACTTCTGTGGCAGATGGAATGCATCCGACTTGTGTTCAAGATGTTCAATAAACATGTTAAATGCATATATATTCCCTTTTTTCTTGAGTCTATTTCCTCATGCAAAATGAATTGATTAATATAGATTAAAAATGAATGATATTTAATCATGATTAATCTAAATTAATCCACAGCAACCCTGTGATTAATCTAAAAATTTTAATCGTTTGACAGCACTATGTATGTATGTATATATGTATGTATGTGTGTGTGTGTGTGTGTGTATGTATATATATATATATATATATATATAGTCAGAAGACTGTCCACTAGATATCCAGTGTTGGATGGCAAAAAAATTCTGTTAAAAACAGAAGTACTGCTTGTTGGACTCAAGGCTGCTTGAAGTAAGTTCCACATCACCCCCTTGGTGATCTTCCTAACACAGTAGTCAGTGATCTTGGTGTCCTGGTTGATTCAGATTTATGTTTCGATGCTCAGATAAGAGGTATTACTAGAACTCCTTTCTACCATCTTCGGAAAATCGTTTCATGAAGTAGAAAAACGAATACATACCTTTATAACTTCCAGACTGGACTACTGTAATGCCCTCCTTTCTGGATGTCCATCTGGATCCCTAAATAAACATCAGCTAGTACAAAACGCAACAGCCAGAGTTTTTACAAACACAAAACAAAAATATATTAGCGCTGTGGCCTGTACTACGAAGCGGGGATACTGGCTTATTAGGGTAACATCAGATTTAAGGTACCACAGTTTAAATGGACTTCATACTCGTTCACTTACATTTTGCCCAGACTACCTTAAATCCGACAAGTTACCCCGATAAGCCAGTAACCCCACTTCGTAGTACAGGCCACTGTTCTATGTTCCCTTCACTGGCTTCCAAGTCTCAGATTGCCTCCAAAATACTACTACTAATGTATAAAGCACTTAAAGGCCTAGCACCAGAACACCTTGGAGATCTACTGGTCTCTCACAACCCTCCTGGCTTGCTTCGATTCCAAGGAGCTGGATATCTGTTAGGGTAGAAAGAACTATGACGGCACTCTCAATATTCAAGTCCAGACTAAAAACACACGTTTAGTGTAGCTTATAGGGACTTCAGTTTTAGCTCTAGCTAACCGCTCAGTCCCAGTTAGACCTATAGTGTGAGGTGTAGAGCTGGATGGGGATGGGTGCTATTGGCTTTGGATGAGCTGAACTATCAGCCTGTCACTTTAGCTTCACCCCCTTGTGGGATTGGAGTGCTGACATTTCAGGGACTCCCCATGCATCTCCCTCCTACTTATGCTACAATAGCCTTATCTACCAGAGCTTACACATTTCACTCACCTGTTTGCACTGTCTTTAGTCTCCCCTACTTTGGCTAACTACACATTTTATTTCCCCTACCGCTTCTGGAGACTCCATTTTATCAAGCTATTCTGCCTGCCCCTGCTGCCAGCAACGTCTCCGCTACCAGTGGCATCTTTCCGACCTGCTCAACCTTCTGCCTGTGGCGTCTATCCAGTATGCTCTGCTGCCTTATCACTGTGCCTTGGGCCATCAGAAGCAGCACCAGCGTCTGCCTGCCTTCACCTGTTTGCCCCCCCGCTTTCAGACTCAAGTGCTAAAATTAGGACAGTTTGACCTGAACGTTCACATCTTGCTCATTTGACTTCCTCTACTGCCCCCTGGAGGATGGGCTCCCCCTTTGAGTCTGGCTCCTCATGGTTTCCTCCTTCTAGGGAATCTTTCCTTGCAACTGTCGCCTCTGGCTTGCTCACCAGGCATTTTGGGTAGGGATAATGTTAAGCACTTTGAGACAATGTAATGTTATGAAGACACATTAGAATAATAAAACTGAATTCTTAATATTAAAAAAATAATTCTACAAGGGGACAGAATATTGAATGGCTAGATGACAAACCTAGTTTTTCCAAGAAATAACACAATGAGGGCTGGTTGCCTGAAGTCACTAAAAACTCAGGACAGCATTACAAGTCACATCACCATCGATCATCCACATGGCCTTGCTGAAATCAGCCCAAGCTGCAACCATCTGATACTGAGCAAGTCAGCTGTTTTGATTCAGCTTGTATATGAGATAAAACATGAAGAATGAGGCCTTTCACACAGTTCCCTCCTGGCAAACCTATGGAAAACACATCCATCACTAGACAGTGCCTGGACTCTCCAATTCAGATTATGATTTTAAAGCCATCGGGCAGAATGCTTGACATGGCTGTCTACCGCATTACTACCCACGTATACACCCGAGTTATGTCAGCTGGGTTAAATCAGGTAAAGCAGCTTCACCAAGCATTTAACAGAATGGCACATAACTTGAAAGTTGGCAGTTCATGTCCTTCACCCATTGATACCTTGCTTAGACAAAGGCGTTTATATCACAGACCCGCTAAAAAAAGGACACAAAGTGCAAGGGATTTGAGGGACAGAGGAGAACTCCTATGTGTCACAAAATTCGCAGTCAGACGGGCATGAGTTTCCGTACACAAATTTATTTTGTCATTAGCGCTTTACAGTTGGAATTCTGGGAATTCAAACACGACATCTTTGCCTGTGAGTTTCTTGTAGACACAGGAAAAGGTCTCAACCTGAGGAGAAGGAAAAGTGCCATGGATGAGAAACCCTATACCCTGTCATTTCTGAGCAATTTACTTTTTTATTTCTTTATTTCCATTCAATTTCCACAGAAAATGCAACACAGTCACATCAGAGAATTGCAAAATGTGCACTGCATGGTTTACCTCCCCAGTCATAGCTGAGAGCTCTGGGAAGATGTAGGAATATACAGTACGCCGCC